GTGAGATCAACACCCGCATTGTTGACAATTTTCAGGGTAAAGATGTCCGGAGCCTTCATGTCACCCTGGTGGGCAACAAGAGCGGCGGGCTCCAGGGTTGGTGTGGTGACTGGGTTGGTCAACGTCATCGAGATAACATCCTCATGGCGGGGAGCGGTGGGGCTGGCGTAGGCCAGACCGGCAAGAACAACAATGGCAGTGGTGAAGAAAGAAATTGGCATCTTTGCTGAAGGATTGTTGTATCTAAGACTTCTTAGAGTCGGAAAGGGCGATAGGAGGTAGAGGAATGAGGGTGTGTTGAGAGGTGGAATATGTTGGCTGGTTGTAGGCTGGTAAAGCTGACTGGTGGTTGCAAGAAGAAAAGAGGTCCAAGGGCAAAGAAACTGGCTGTTCTTATAGATACTCTAGAGGGGGTCCTTACACAACCGCAAACACTAAAAAACACAGTTGTAGAGGTTGGGGTGAAGCTGTCCAGGGCTTCAAGTGAATGGAGATAGATATTCAGTGGTTGTCGTCCGATGTATCGAGATGACAAGCAAAATTTGGCGGCTCAGGTGATACATGTGGGACAAAATCTCGTATGTAAACGAGATATCAGGCTTCATACGATATGGCTCACCGAGAATCCATACGGACTTTGGCTAATGTGACCTAGTGTTTCTTTTTGGGATGGCTGGTTTGCAACCTGATATTGGTCGACACCGCGGATGAAATTGTGGGTGCAAGCCGTGCTTGCGGCAAAGAATATGTCAAACTGCCTTTAACGACCGCTAACGGAAGAACGAACTGGCATTGGCTGGAAAACAGTGCCGAGGAGGTAGACATAGGTAAAGAAGCAGGGGCTGGGTTCAGCCAAAACCAGCCGATGCAAGAAATAGGGGTATCAACAAACAGCAGTTGACCGGGTTTACAAGTGGAAGAAATTACTCATGCCAGCTCGCTGGAACAACGGAGCTGCTGAAGATCTTAGATTGGTAGAAGGAGAATAAACAGGTACTGCTTGGAAGGTCAAACTACAGCAGCCAAAAAGTGACCAACATCCCTGGCAGCGTGAACAAGACAGTCGAGACTTGGTGTCACAAGGGTAAGGGTAAGGACAAGAAACAGCCAACAACAAAGATGACTAGCATCGCAGGTCACACGGACAGAAGATTCAGGATTTGCTGTCACAAAGCTGCAAGGGCAAGACACTCCTAAGCATAAAACGACCAACATCCCAAGCAAGCAACTCGGACAGTCCAGTTGGGGCCAAGTACAAAGGCACAAAAAGTTACATTTGAAAAGATGTGTCAAGGTCAAAGATATGTCAGAAGAGAGAAAGAGATTCACCATCTTCGCTAAATGAGTCGTAGATGAAGACCTCCCAGCCTATGTCCCATGAGTTCCACCTCTAGCATATCCCGTTCCCAACTTACAGCGATCTATCCTCCTCCCCTCCTTCCTCCCGGACACTAAAGCCCATTTGCCAAAATCTGACATGTAACGACCCCCGACTGACATGCACCATTCGAAACCGCCTTGTTGTTGTCCGGGAAGACATACGCCAAATCCTTGCACGGCTTGAAAAACGGGTTCGGCTCGAGGTTCTCACCCCTGACATCCCTGAGCGGGTTCTTGCAAGCGCCCTGCCCATTATCCTGGGAAGCAGGACACGTCGACTGGAGCCACAGCTTCTCAGAGCACCCCTTGAGAAACGCACCGCCATCCGAAGTACAGTAGCATGTAATCGGGTATGTGAACCCGTTGACGAGCGACACGTTAATGGCAAAACCGGCGTTTTTGTGCGTCTCCGTCTCGCTCTGGATCTTGAACGAGCTCTCGATGAGTGTCTCGTCGCCTTGGATGCGGTACTTGGCGTTGTTGAAGGCGATGTTGCCACCCCAGCCGGTCGGGTAGAGGAGCGTCTTAGTTGCGCCTGCAGCCATGGTGCCGGCGGTGGGAAGACCACCTTGCGGAGTCTGGTCGATGACGCCGTCGGTTTGGGTGTTGAGACCATGAGTTGTGGTCAGGGCGACGCCTGCCTTGTTGGCTACGACAAGGGTAATCAGCGGAGGAGCTGGTGGAAAGTCGTTGGCTTCGGGGTGGCCGGCGGGAGTCGGGCCCAAAGCGCCGCTGGGCTCGACGCCGAGGGTGCCGATGTAGCGGGGTTGAACCTTGAGAGTGCGAGTCGGCATGTTGGAGGCGCCGGTGGCCGGGAAGGCAGCGCCAAGGCCGGCGGTAGCCAGGAGGATGGCGGTGAGGATCGAGGTCTTCATGGTGGTGGAAGTGGTGTTGTTGTTGTAGGTTGAGGTGTAGGAAAGGTAGAGAAAGAGATACAGTGTTGGAGGGTTGGAGGAATCCAGATCTTGAGGTTTGGTTGAATTGTTGAAAAAGGGAAAGTTGGAGGGGGAAGACGAAGAAGGAGAGGTAACTTAAAGGCCACTGGGGAGGCCCTTAATGGGTGCAAACTGCGGTGTTGGAAGGTGCTCCTCGTAGAATAGAGTCTGGTGGCCTGGTGGCGGATAACTAGGGAGAGACAGGGTAAGGAAGGATTTACCAACAAGAGATTGCTAGGCTACCAGACGTGGGGTCATGGGCCTGGTCATGGGCATCAAGGTGCGTAAGTTGCGGCGTTGAGGACCAACAAACTTGGGGCAGCAGGCACGGGGAGATAACTGGTGAGAGTGGGGAAATGGAACAGTAACTAGGTACCTATAAGTGAGAGCTCAAGTGAGCAATCCCCAGGAACAAGATGCCCAGAGTTTGAACTGCGCTGTCTGTGGACCGGGAAGCGGCAGTAGGGACGCTCTGGGAGTTAATCTTGGTTTTGGTTGGGAAGGTGTCAAGTCAACCTTGCTGTAGTTTTTGAGATGATAAATGAACCAAGTATTGCCCGTGCAATAAAAACAAGAGAAAGAAAAGTACCGCGTGGGCGAGGTATATTCCCTTCGAATTTTTTCTAACTCTCTAAACTTTGTATGGTCTCACTCCCATGAAGACCTCAATTCCTCCTTGCATCGGACTCCGTCTCTCCTACACTCGGATACCTTCCAGCGCCTACTTGGCCGAGTACACCCTGCACTCGACCAGACCGCTCTGGCATTCCCCGTTGGAGTTCGCTTCATTGTTATCTGGGAAAGTGTAGGCCTGGTTTGCGCAAGCCGCGAACGATGGGTGGGCCACCTGGATCAGGTTGTCATATCTATGGGGGTTCTTGCACGCCCCATTTCCGTTGTTCTCGGGGCACACCAACGCCTGGTTCCACAGCTTTACGTCGCAACCGCTCAGCCTCGCACCATTTGCCGCACAGGTGCAGACAATAGGCAGCGTGTGGCCGTCGACATACGAGACGTTAATGTCGTAGGTGGCAAAGTCCTCGCTGACGTCCTTTTGGATGGTGAAGGACGCTTCAACGAGTGACTCGTCTCCGCGGAAGCTCGAGTGCTTTGCATCGTTGACGGCGATGCGACCGGCCCAACCCGTCGGGTACACGATTTGAGCCCGAGCTCCAACGCCGAGGGTGCCCGAGGCAGGCTGGCCACCCGTGGGAGCTGGGACCCGGGGTTGCGGTTGTGAGTGGTGGAGATGGCACGTCCAGCATTGTTGATCAAGGCGATGGTAACGTACGGAGGGGGAGTCGGGATGGCCTTGATGTTGACTGAGATGGCATGGGTGGAGTCAAGTGCGCCGCCAAGGGCATCTTGGCGAGCGGCCAAGGAGGCGACAGTCGTGGCCGAAGCTCTGAAACTGTTGAACGTGGGAGTCGATGAGGTTGAGATAGCTGAGCTGCAGCTGGCGCTCGACGTAGAGGTCGACGAGACCAGACCGACCAAAGCTAGGAGGGCCGACGCAACAGTTGTGGTCTTCATCTTGTGAGTTGAAGGTATGAAAGAGAAATTTTGATATGTGGTAGAAGTTGAGTTCTTGAGGGGAGTGTCGAAGGGGTTGGCTTAGAGGTTGGAAACGCGAAGACGCTTGAGAAGTTGTAAGAAGAGAAGATCTGGGAGAGAAGAAGAATTGTATAGGCGTTGCGGAGGGGCCATGGCGCTGGTGGGAATAGCTTCATCTGAACAAACACACCTCACTGAAAACACCCAATGAAACGAGTGGGGATCGAGTACCCTAACGACCAACCGCCCGGGCGGTAAGTCGTGACCACGTTGGATGGGATGAAACTTGTTTAGACCGACAAGGGCCAATAAGGGGCCAGATCAGCGGATACAACAGAGGGTTGAAATGAGAACGGGAAAGATTTGGGGGCGGGGATCAGGCGCAAGATGAGATGGAGTCCGTCTGAGGCTCATTCACCCCCACGACAGCCATCGGAAGGAAGCTTGAGAAACAGTTGAGATGGAATATAAGGGGTGCCGTAGGTAGCCTGAGCTCACCGAGCTTTAGGGCACGGAAGGATTGGAACTGTTGAGGCGAGCAATCTTCTGCAGATCGGGTAACATGATGGCGGTGAACGACCAAGTCCGTGGCACGAAGAAGGCGAGACAGCGGTACATCCCATCACCAACTGGCGGCCGCCAGCTGTAGTTGGATGCCACAATGATGTCGGGAGTGATACAGACGAGACTCGGTCCCTTTGCGTGTTGGCGTCGGTGACGACGCCGAACGAACGGTGCTCAGAGCCCAAGACAAAAGATAGAAATTGACACGCGGGGCAAGCGAGGCTCGAGACTCGACTCTCCTGGGCGTACCTTCCCTCTTGTACCTAGAACAAGGCCACCCTCCTCAAGAACGGCAGGCACGAGCCGCACAACAAGCCCGCCTCTGTAACGCCAACACCAAAACACCAACCCCCACAAACCCAACAACACCTTGATAAGTCCAGACGTCAAACCAATGACCAAAATCACACGTTCTCATCCGAGAAACCTCGTAACATCGTCGTCGTAATCCATCAACGCCAGCACACCCCAGAGAGGCCCCGCTGCAGAACTGCGGTGCAAACTCCCATGCAAACCCACCTGATGACGTCACATAAACTCAACTTTCGGCGATCAACACCATCAATCGCCCGACTAGCTCAGTGGTTTAGAGCGTCGCACTCGTATCTGCGAAATGCGAAGGCCCACGGTTCAACTCCGTGGTTGGGCATTGTTTTTGGGTAATTCCTTTTTGCCCTTTGTCTGATACCCTCTTGACGATCTCGTTGAAGGCCGTTGTCAACGATTGGAAGCAACGAGGGGCATGAGCGTTGAGAACGGGATGGCGGCGGGACCGGCCATCTCCAGGTTGGGAACAGAAAAGGGGGAACGGGTGACGACAGGAAAGTCGGTCTCCATCATGAACTCTGCGTCTCCACATCTAAAACTCGATGTTTACCCAAGCCACGAGACAAACGCAAACGTGTCAGACGCACCATCGCCATCATGACGGAAGCCAGGATCGTTGACAAGAAACGGCAACGTGAAACTCGCATGACCAAAACCAATATATTCAAATATCCGATTAATAAACAACAGAATCCCGCTCGCTCCCATTGCTGGGCTTTCGTCTCCGCATGTATGATGACCTACCCCTGTCCTTCTCCTCCGACTTCTTCCCCACCAGCTCATGGGATGTGTGGTCCAACACATCCAACTTTTCCAGGGTATCAATAACGTCTGGTGGTGGTTCCGAGCTAAACACAAGCTGAATGTCTCCATAAGGGCTGAGGCCAAAGTGGTGCCACTTTTTCGGTGACAACGAGGGCATGCCGCGTGCCCAGACGTGTCGACGTTCCCAGAGTGCGATGAGCAGCAACACAGGAGCGTTAACCGTGCGAATGACGGCCACATTAACGGTGTGGAAGGCGCCGGGGCCGAGGAACAGACGGAGGGGAAGCATCAAGACTAGGGCGACCATGTTGAAGGGAGGTGGGTAGGCGAAGATGGCGTCGGACTTGACGCCTTGGAAGGTGAGGACTGCGTGACGGAACTGGACTTCTGCGGCCGCGTTGTCCATAATCTTGGAAAAGGTGTTGGTGAGGATGGCAACGAGGATGGTAAGGAAAAGTGTGTTGCCGAGGAAGGCGAATGTGATGGCAAGGAGAGGGCCGAGGACGAGGTGGAACTCGGTCGTTCGTTCGAGACCAGTGCCATCAAGACCGAACCAGATCCAGAGAAGCCATTTGCCAATGGTGGCCCAGCTGGGGCTGTCGGCTGCGTCCCATGGTTGCTCAAAGTTAGTGCGCATAAGCCAGAAGAGACCCAGCAGAAAGCCCGTGAAGCACCAGATGGCGATGAAGGTGAGGCGAGTAAAATCACGCATCATGGCGTGGAGAGCGATGAAGACGATATTGTCCGGCATAAGACAAAAGGCGATGCGTGTAAGCAGCACAGGTGCGGCCGTGCAAAGAATGGGCAGAGCGTAGTTGATGTCGACTCCGAAGAGGAGCTCAACCGTTCGAACGACACCGTAGACTCCGTAGATAAGGATGAAGCTAATGTCGAGGAAACTCCATAGGTTTTGCGCGTGGACCTCCCAGCCGTGCTCGATGATAGCAGCAAACTGTTCGAGAACCCAGCCGGCGGTGAAAATAATAAAGGCCCCCTCGTACATGCCCATTTTCCGGGTGCCGTACTCGGGATTGCCGTTGCAGTGGACCATGGTCAAGACGTAGAGCAAAAGAAGGATGCTGAAATGGGCCAGCTCGATCAAGTTCCGGAGCTGCGGAACGATCAGGCGCTGGTGGTTGAGGATGGCCGCTCTCCGTGGCTCATAAAGCGATACAGGGTGGTACTTGTAGTGGTCCGGCAGGATGTCGACAAGTGACAGGGGTGTATAAACGACGAGGCCGCGGTGAACTGCATCGACAACCCGTTGACAGGCGACTGACGCGATCAAGATCTTGCTCTCCGACATAATGGCCAGCTCCAACGCCATCAGCTTCCGTTCATGACCCCCCCGTTCCTGAGAAGGCCACTGCTGGGCCCGACTCTGACGTTTGATGGGCTCCGGGGCGGCATCAAAGGCGTCGAAGCCCGACACAAGTATGTTCGACAAGAGCAACAACCCTGAGCGGCCCGGATTCTCCTCGTGGAAGCGCCGCAGGATCCTGGCAGCAACAAGCTCGCAAACGGTAGCCCGAGCAATATTGACCGTCTGATGGAGAGCTTCTTCAGACTGTGATCGGAGGAACTGGACCCGGTTGGCCAGGAGGCAGTAGACGGTCGAAAGGTCATCGGGGCTGTATAGCTTGTCGACGAGCGGCCGGACGATCTGGGCGCTCATACGTGGGGTTCGGAGCTGGTCGAGAGTGTATGGATCATCTGGAGGGGTTAGAGTTAGCCAAGAACAGACACACCGGAGTGGGGGACGGACCGACGGCAGCGATGACGAGGCGGCGGACCCGGTGGATGGAGACATAGACCGGCAAGACATTGGACTCGGACGTCTCGGAAGCATCGCTGCGAGCTTGTCGGCGGTTGCGCAGGCGCAAGGCCATGGGATCGGTGTCGGGTGTGAAGAGGCCGGCCTCGGGGTTATCGTCGAGATTGAGGTCATCGTCGGACTCGGGGTCGGCATCGCGGTCGAAATCGCGGAGCGCCGTCATGGGGCTGCGGAGCGGTGCGTCGCGGCCCATTTCTGCAAATGCTACCGGTGCTGGAGGTTCATGATGTGGCCGACGGGTCGATTGCGGGTTGCAGCGAAGACACAAGACGGCAGGAACAAAATTGTCGAGAGTCCAAGTGTCTCCCTTCCATTCCCGGCGCGCCTGTGACCCCTGTGTGGACCCTTGCCGCGCCTAGAACACCCATCACGTAATTCTGCGGCCTTAGGGGGGCTTGGCGCCTGTCAGGGGAAATGCTGGGACATGCATCGCGAGATAACGCGCCGTTTAAATCTCCGTGATAAGAGTCAATCGGCGCGCGTGGTGTCGTTGCCATCGCCATTTGAACGAGAGTCACGCTGCAACAAAGAGGGAAAACAACGCGTTGTTTGACAAGAGGCGACGTCAAAAGACACCGCGTTCGTGTGGGGCAGCTGGCCTGTGCTCTGCCCCCTTCTTCCGCATAATGACCCGCTCCTCATCAGGTCCCGTCCAAACATGGAAGTCGTGATGCCGGTTTCCTTCCCAAAAAAAGGCGTCAAACTGGAAATCCGCGCAAACCCGCGCGTCAATTAAACGCCCAAGCCACCGATAAAGCAAATGCATCCTCCTTCGTCATGCCCAAACGGAATGCCACAACGTCATCAATCATCAAATTTACCAACTTCCCCAGCTGCCATATGCGTCGAGATGCAATAGTTGTGACCAATTCAGGTCATCTGTCCCACGTCCTCCTACACGCCACCAGTCATTGTAACATCATCCGACACTGTTGTCTGCAGCCCGCGTGCTCGCAGCTTGTTCACCACGTCGCTTGCCACTGGATATGTTGTGGCGAGCAACCGTAAATCGTTGTCGCCAGCAGTCTTTTCCCACGCCTTGAGGATGAGGTTCCCAATCGCCACGCTCACGGGTTTCTTCGTATCGCCGATGAGATCCGGTCGATCCCCGTATACTTGGTTGATGGAGGCCCAGCCCTGTTCTGCCTCGTCGCCCTTGGCCCAGTGCAGGAGGTGTGTGAGCACATGGATGAGGGCCTGGAACGGAAAGTTGCTCGTAACGTACCACAGAAATGGCTGGAGACTCTTTGTCGAGTATGCTACGTTGTCGTACTCTAGAATCCTCAAGGCAAGTTGGAATAACTCTCCCCTTCCGGCCTCTGACATCTTGCCCACGCCCTTGGTCTCAGCGGGAACGTACAGGTGCTGCCTGACGGACAGCCTCATCGAGCAGATGGCCGAGTGGCCGACACCTGTGGCAAGAAGGTGGAGCGGAATGGATCCGTCGCAGCGTCTAAACAAATGCTCGTCGAGCTTGTGCTCAAGCGAGTCGATGGCCTGCTCAGCCTGTGCCAACGGGACGGAAGGAGACACCTTGCGCGCTCTCTCGACCTTCCTCACTTGCTTCATACACTCCCCGACCTCGAAGCGTACCCTGCAAAATAGCATCTCTGTTGGCCCTTGGTGTTCAAAGGGGATCTCCCGCATGTAGGGAGATAAGGCGCTGTCGCTGAGGTTTAGAGGGCACTTGGTATCGCCAGTGTCGACCCAGGTGGCGTCCAGCCTGGTTCCGGAGACGCTGGCGGACTGGCTGTCGAGGAGTATGATCTGCCACCACAGGCGCCTTCGCAGCTCGGCTTCGAATGGAGGCAACTTATTCAGGGTTTGTTCGCGGTGCATGCCCATCACCTGAGCGGTGCGACCAGCCAAGCCCGCTAGGAGCCACATGGATTGATCATCAATGCACTGTCGGGAGGCGAGCTGGTCTCATGTCAGCCCCAGCAAAAGGGTAGCACAAAGGTAACACAGCGCGGGCGAGCCACGAGTCAACTTACGAGATACAGCGTCAGAGCTTGCAGAACGACAAGATCGGTCGACTGCAGGAACTGTGCGTTACACAAGGCCCTTTTCGTCGCATGGGAATAGCGGTTGAACAGATTCATCTTCGGCTCGCCGAGCTGATCCATGCACTCCTGCTCTGTCATGGTAGTGACGGCGCAGAGATAGATGGCAAAGAGCAACGCTTCAGTGTTTGCGTCGGGGCCGTTTGCGCCAGCGACAGCGGTGGAAATGAGTTGTTGAGTTGTGGGAGCATGGAGGATTTTGGTCAGAGGGTTGAAGTTGTCAAGAAACGTCTGCCATAGCCGGAATGTCTGCTGTATTGACGGCCTGTTGGCGGCAAGCGTACTGAGGGAACATTGCGGACCAAAGACCAAGCTGCCCGGTGTCGGCGCCTCCTCCTCGTCTCCAAACTCGCACTCCTCCGCCTCGCCCGGGTCCGGCAGCTCATCGCCAAGCTAAATATGATCAACGCCGGCTTCGTCGTCCAGTGCGCCGCAGGTACTCACCTCACTGTCGGGACGATTCCCCAGGACACTGCATGTCTGTTAGCCAATGACAACCGAGCACGTCGGGGGACCTGCTGGTCGACGAATCCGGGATCTTCACCGTGGCCCACCGCCTGGCCATCTTCACTGTCACCGGTGTCCCGCGCAGTCGAGCCCTTCTCACTAACGCTGCCCGCCTCCTCGAGAGATATACCGTTAGAGGTGAGTAGACTCTCG